CTGTTTTTTTTACTATGCTACTCTACAGTTATTCCAAATACAACAGATGCTCAGTGTACTCCCATTGCCATCAGCAGCTCTGTATATTCCTATAGTTGTCCCGAAACACAAATGCTTAGAAAAGCTTCCTGAGGAAACTCTCCAGTACATGGTTTGGCTAAAGGGAACAAAGGGTATAAGTATATACACACCTTACAGAACAGTGGAACAGAAACCTTAAATTAATACAAACTGAATGCAAACTGAATACGTCTGTCAAAGAACAGGACCAAAACCCAGCAAGGTGCCCAGTTCCTGCAACAGCCACTTACAGGGGCTCCTACCTACCTGTACTGTCATTTGATCTGTGCTATTTTAGTCACATGGTCTGAACTTTTGGGTAGACCTGTGCGGTGTCAAGAGTTGGACTGGATGATCCTTAAGGGTCCCTTCCAACTCAGGATATTCTATGACTCTATTTTGAAGAAGCGCCTCTCAAAAGCTGAGTTCACACTATAATATCTTGAACTAGCAAATTTTCACAATTTGCACACAACGTACCAAAAGCAACTGCAGTTATACTGGTGGGATCTTAGACATTAGGGAAAGAAGTCCTACTCATGACCTGCAGTTCAATTCACTGAGGGAAGATGCCATACGTGTAGCACCTTCAGGCTGTTTCATATTCTAAAATTTGCATCAAAAATCTCTTCAGAGGAGTTTAGAAATGCTTTTGTACACCTTAAGCTGTAACCTCACAGATGTTGTGGAATCCATTCCACAAGGAAATCCATCGTGACTGCTGAAGGATGGACACAGCACAATCTAGAATGTTTGCCAGTACAAAGTGAGTCTACATCACCTCTCCTTGCACAGGCAACATACAATAGAGCTACGATATCAACACTGCCATGGGGGTTTTGATACTAGAGTATCAAAGTATGAGCTGATTTATAGCCAGATTTACTCTACTATCAATCACAATCTCTGAAAAAATGAATTTATTACAAAACTTTTATCAATGCTTTTTATCATTAAACGATTTCCAAATGCTTTGCCCATGTCTAATCTCTGAAAAGTCCTAAAACACTTAGGTAAATATAATTCTTATTTTACAGCGGAATATAAAAAAGCATGCCCCGGAGAAGAATTCGTCATTGTTTCCCCATATCTGTCAGCTTTGAGTGCCATAACTTAACCTTCAGGTTACGCCACTGGGAGATGCAGACGCTCGCTAGCTGTAAAGATTCAGCAGTAACAGTTGTTTTACTTTGTACTTCCAAAATAAATGATTGTTTCTGGAAGCTTTCTGTGCATAAACCAAGATCAGGGAAAAAATTTGCAGTGATTCTACACCCCATGCTTCATCATAGATGAAGATATTTTCAGTTACTCACTTCACTTCCAAGACATATTGCTTATTTTTGCAGAAAAGCACTTAAACTGAAGAACAGACATTCCTCTCTGGCTAACAGTATATAGCAACGCATTAGCAAAATATTCTTTTCCCTGAAGTTTGAAAATGTTGATTCCACCAGCAGCACTGGCCACAGATGCCCTCCATCAGCTTGGTCACAAACAATTGCCAGGTCTTTGCAATTTGGAGAGAATTTGGTGGAAAGCAGCTGCTAAAAGTCACGGCTGTGGCCACTCAAAAAAAAACAGAAAATACTTCCTACAAACTTGCCTTCCAACTACTGCACCCTCTCCTGGACACCTTGCCACTCCTGCTCAAGTGCTTCCCTGCGGTGGTGCTTTGCTCTAAGTGCCATGTCCCCCACACAGAGCAAGGGAACATTGCTTCTAGAGAACGAGACACACTGAAGTTGCTTTGCTAAGTTCAGAGCAAACTGCTGAGAGCCCTGGGACAAAACTGTGGTCCCACCTCACAGCCTTGTCCTGCTTCTGCACCACCACATCCTTTTCGGGACACATCTGCCTTCCCCAAGAGGATGCAACTGCATGTAGCCTGCCAAGAACAAACTCTTCACACCACCAGGGGAGCCACAGGCAACAAACGCCAACGTCACATTCAGCTTTTCAGGAACGCATGATGGAGATTTACGTGCGCTCTGCTGGTAGCTGCAATGCAAACAGGGCTTTCACGCGACTGTCTCGTGTCCTAGGGAATAATATTTTATCTTCTAGCAGATATTACGGGAACAGATTAACAGCAAAGATACAACTGCATTCCACCAATGCTCAGCAGAAGTCAGAAGTAAAGAAGTCTTGTGTACCTGGGTTATTGTCATACACTTACCCTATGTCACTGGTAGCTAGGTGACACAGGTACCTCACTGCACAAGCTAGGATTTTTATCTTGTGAACACAGGGGAACGATTAGAGCTTGGCTGGATTTGGGCACTCCAACACACTTCCTGCTTTGAAGGCTTGGTTTTGGTGATTTAAATTGTGGCAAGAGGCAAGGAGCTGAGGTGGCTGAGCAGGACCCCAAACCTCACTTCTCCTCCATCTCCACGTCGCAAGGCCACACCTCACATGAATTAAATGCCTAAGTCTGACTTTCAGTAAACTCAGCTTCTTAAAAGCTTTGTATAAAGCAAAGCATGTGTGAGCATAGGCACTTACCCACGTTTGTGAGGCAGGACGCTAGGCTAGGTCTCCAGGGCTGTCCTCTGGAGCACGGTGTGTCACAAAAGCCCTGTCCCCACTGGCACCGAGAGGTCACGGAGCAGCCTGACACCACAGGCATGGGAAATGCTGATAAGGAAGGCTGCAAATGCAACTGGGACATACTCCATGTAGGTCTCAGCCTGGCTGCTATCCCAAGTGAAACAGCCAGCTCTTGGCCTCACAGTCTCTGGTTGAAGGGTGAACTGAAACATCTTTGCCACGCAAGGAGGGATTTATGCACTGACATGTACCTCTCTCTTTCCTTCTCTTACTGTGATACTCCCAAACTTCCTTTCCTTCCCATACCTACTGGCTAGGAGAGACCTGCCAGGGCTGGCTCCCAGTGATGGCCGCCAGGCCACCACTACCACCACGTTCAGGCTGGGCAGCAGCTGCTGCTTCTGGCCCTCATTTTCATCTACCTTCCCCTCAGTAGGGCATGAATTTGGGTTTCCTTCCTCTGACCAGATGCTCTTTCGTGCAACTTCTGGGAAGTCTGTAACCTTTGAGACCTCTTCTGCCCTGTCAAATTTGGTGGAAACCACTGAGCCAGTTTAAATCTGTCCTGGTGAGGGAGTGAGGCGAATTCACAGACAGTGTGATCACACAGCCTTGTTTCCTCAGAAAACCAGGCTGAAAAAGCCAAATATAAACAGAATGCTTGTCAAAGCATTTCCTAGTTTCTAAGATCTACTTAAGAGAAAGAGTGCCAGGCAGGAGGAGCACCAGGAGTTGGCCTGGTTACTCCCCATCCCATGTGCACTGCTGTGCTGAAGGTAAATGCATCTCCCACCTCTCAGAAACAGAGGTTGTGTCCCCCTCATCCTGGCCCAAAATAGATGGATCCATGTCCCTGAGGAGTGGCTGGGTATTACAGAGAAAACAAGCAGGCACAAGGAGGGAGTTGACCAGTCCCCTCCAGAGGTATAAAAGCCACACAACTTCAGACCAAAAGGCAACCCCAAAAATATTTTCGACAAACAGGTTTCCCCTTGCTTCCATCCTCTTCCTCTTTTAAAGATGAAATTCAAACCACAACCCAGCAGTATCTCAAGATAAAGCAGGTGCAGGGGGACTTTCAAGTTTTGCTTTTGCCAGGTCTCTAGTTTCCTCTGTTCTGTTCCACTCCCAGAAGGGATCACATTCTCCTTGTGCGTATGCTCTCCTCAGAAAAAAAAAAAAAAGAAGCATAAAGAAACCCTGGGGCCTAGTTAAGTCCCAGCTACTAGTCCTGCTGCACACACGTTGCAGACATGGTTATGTACAAAACACACCACTCATTTGTTTCTAGTAATACACAAATGTACTGGAAAAATTCAAAAGTAATACAGTGTGAAGCTCTGGGGATTCACAAACTATTTACGGAAATACAGCAATGCTACCAGAGCTTCATTTACTTTTAAACATATGCAGTCTTAGATCCCCCAAAGTGCTAGCATTTTACAGGCATACAAATGACAAAACTGCTCAGCCTCTTTTGCAAAAATTTCCATTCCTCCCATGATGTTCCAATTAGGTCTGCAACTAATAATTGTCAACCTTGTGAATAATTTCACATAATTCACTTGGGCAGAAATATTCCCTACAAGTCTGTGGTTTGAACTGAAATAACGAACCATCACTCACTTTCAGACTGTAACGTAGTTGCAGCTCATCTCGTTAACTTTAACCTTCAGTGCCCAACAGTACTGCCCCTGGTGACACTTTCCTCTGCACTGAATTACAATAATGCACAGAAATGTTTGCAATAGGTATATCAGGAGCAGCAGCTAATCATCCTTGGAGCCAAAGAAACTTCCTCTGTAACTGAAGATTTTCTGAAGCCTCTCGTAAGGACGCTTTTTTTCCTTTCTCTCCCATACTGTGTCCATATCCACTTACTAACTTCAGTCTTTCTTCTTCCTAATATGAGGAAAATGATGAAGAGCTGTGAATCTAGTCTAGATCAGCTATTAAAGCATGTTTAGTATTTCCATGAGCATGACCAGGAGCACATGATCTTTTTTGCAACAGTAGTGTTTTTCTAAACTTTCTAATTTACTTTGACTCAGAGGAAATACATGATGGTCAGCATGACATGTGAAATTAGATATTGGCCTAGCAATCAGAGACAAAGCAGTCAACAAAAGATGAAGAATTTCTTTCATCTTTTAGTTTTTGTTTTAAGACATACATATCTACTCTGAGTTTCAGACTGAGAAGCTTTTGATCTTGCAGTGCAAAGGAAGGGAAACCTCTGCTTGAAGTTTGCAGCTAGTGCTCTGCTTGCAGGTGGCAAGCTTTCCCTGTGCACTCGCAGCAGAGCAGGCACAGGACAGGATGCTCAGGGTACTGGAAAACACCCATCTTTGATAGTGATTTATAGCTGTGCCCTGGAAAATTTGCAGGTGCTGCCAATGGCAGAACAGAGCTCACCAGGAAGAACTGTCAGCCAAATGTCCAGCTGCACCCTACCTGCAATGCAGCCCCATTTCAGCTGTCTGTGAAGCCCCTTGTTCCTTGCCCTGAGCAACACAGTGGTGCAACAGACTGCTAGCAAGTGGCCACATTCCTTTGCAGAGGTGGGTGAAATGATTCATTGTCTATATATAGACCTGTTCAAGTACAAAATGATGCTGATTTTTTTCTTTCAATTGTTCTCAATATATGTTTTTCCATTTCACATTATTATGATATTCAAAGGATATGTTGAATACATACTAGACCAAAATACAAACTAATTGTGCCATCCCTCATAGATGTAGACTTAAAAGTTTCTCAATTTTATTTAAAAAATTGTTGTGATTCAAATATAACCTAAAAGAGCATTCCTTGACAAATAATTTCCTCTACCAGTTTATCAAATTCAGTTTAGTTATTCAAGGGTTACAGGATTTAAAATTATCCTTCTATGTTTATATATAGTAATACATTAAAATATAATGGAATACAGTCAACAAGGAAGATCTCTTTTGAATATTTTCCCCTTGTATGTAAGCCATCTGCAGCTGGGAAATTTCATTGTTAGAGGTCCATTAATGAGATCAATACAAGTTATATCCACAAGGGATTAGCTGGCTAATATGCTATCAAAAGACTCTTGGATACAGCAAACTGTTTTTCTCACATGCAGTCAGGCCTAAATGTGATCTTCTTTTCCTTCTTTCTCCATCCAGAAAGTGGAAATGAAAGCATTCCCATTTTCTACAACACCAACTTTCACACAAACACACACACAAAATCATACAATAAACAGAATTAGAGATTCTAAATTTATCTTTAGTGGATGCTCAGAAAATGACAAGAGGTAGGTAAAAGGGAAGGCTCTGCCATATATTTCCTCAGGTCAGTATTTAACTGACTTTTTCCCTGATCTCTTTTGCGGCTGTTTCAGGTTTAGCTATGCATTCATCAGTTTTACTTCTGGTCTCCAAGCAAGCCCATCTACAGTCACCATCACCCTCTTATATCTTCTGCTCCTACCAAAGAAGTCTTAACTTTTATTTCTGGATAACAATGGAGATGGGGGAAGAAACAAATTAATAGATAGCAATAATAATTTTAAACCCTCCCTTCACTTCAGGCTCTGGTATACAGAAACAGAAGGACAATAAACACAGAGCTGCCGAGCACAAGAGTCTGCTTGTTTCTCTGGGGAAGAAAAAACCATCAAAAACATGTGCATTCGCCATGGAAGAAAGACTGCCTTTCTGGTTGTGTGTGAACTCACATGACAGATACAAGTTGACATAACACTGCAGTTATTTATCACGCAGATGTTTAAAGATAACTCTTAATAAAAAATGATAATCACACACAGTGACACAAATCCACCAGACCATGAAAGCTAATATTTACTCAATACTAAATACCTAGTGGTCATGCAAGCCTCTAAGGAACCAAGTCTGGTTATTACTTTACTACTAGGAAAGCCAGTGCTTCAGAGAAAATAGATTATTTGGATTTTCTTTTAATGCATTTGTTATTATTATTTTCACCAAAGCTATTCAGCCTTTATGTTTTCCATCAAATAGTCACGGCACACAAGCTTTCCATTTTCAGAAATACTGCAATGTCAGCACTTCGTGTGCCAGTAAAATGGATTTTCACCTCTGTATTTAGTTTTGGTTGGTTTGTTTTAAAAGAAACTGGAAAGAGAAAATGACTGAAGAACAACGAAGACCTTGAGCCCAGTCCTGCCAGAGCACTGGGATGCAACACAGGCACTCAAGGAAAGAAGGGTCCCTCTCTGCACCTTTTGTCATGCTTACAGATCACTTTTCCTGCCCCTCTGGCATCTTCTGCCTCAGCTTTGTGAGGGATGGCATGAAGAGTCCTCCATCTACTTTTAATCTTTTTACTGAAGGAATGCATAATGCCATACCATGGCCCTACATATGTGACATAATCTTTAAAAAATGTTACCTATTGTTAATTGTGATCTTTACAACTGAGATAGGAAAACTGGCTCTGAGCAGTGCTTTTCTCTCTGGCCAGTTTCTGTATGGGCACAGACACATTTGCACTGTGCGGGGCTGCTTACGAAGTCCCAGCATAGCTCGGGCACCTGGAAAAGCATAAACAGGTTCTTTGCTCAAGCTAATGTCTCCTTTCTTCCTTATCTCTCAGCTTTGCTTTGTACAGCCTTGGCACAATCTGAATTTGAAGCAATTGCAATTTACTTGATACTACAACATCCAAGGCAAAAATCCTTCAGACAGATGATTTGCTCAGTTCCACCCATTATGAAAGCATAAATGCTATAAACAGCAGAAAGGAAGAAAGTTGCTTCGGGATGCTGGGAAGTACAGTGTCAGTAAATGCAACATGCTGTATGTGGATAAAACCCATTGAGTTTGTGAATACAGAGTTACCTATTATTACTCAGGAAAGAGATCTTAGAATCATAACAGTTCTCTGAAAGCATCAGGCTGAATGCTCAGGGATGGTACAAGGGAAAAACAGTGTCAAGGATGATTACAAAAGGAACAGCAAACACCGTCTCTCTCCATATAAACTAAAGTTTTGCCCACATCTTCAGTTCTACGCACAGTTCTAAAACAGATTTGGAAGAATTAGGAAAAGACATGAAAAGGAAGATATAAATAACAGAGGTACAAAACAGCTTCTCTACAAGATGAGATTAGCCAAAGGATGACTTTTCAGCCTGCAAGAGATGACTGTGGAGAAGAACAGGATTATGGTCAAAAATCATGAACAGCATAGAGAGAGTGAATAGGAACAACTGTTCTCATGATGTAAGAAATAGGGGGCATAAAATGAAATGATCAAACAGCTAGTTTAAAACAAGAGGGTCCAGTTTTATTTTTTTATTATCCACTACGTAATTAAGTTGTGGAACTCATTGCCACAGGATGTTTTGAAAGCCAAAAGCATAAATGGATTAAAAGAAAAGCTATTAGAAAAATTCATGGAAGAAAGGTCCATCAAGGGCTATTAAGACACAGATACAACCTCTGACTCAAGAAGTACCCAGAGAGCCGACTGCCAGAAGCTGGGAAGGGATGCTGCTCTGCACTGACCGAGAGCAGATGCTTTGGGAAAAGAGAGTGAAGGACCAAGCTATGGTCAGAATCAGGATACTGGATTAGACAGATCTTTGCTCTGATTCAGTATAGCTGTTCTGATGCTCTTCTAAAATGAACTAATTTGTCTTTGAGAATCTGACGCTTATTAAAACCCAAATGTAATTCCTTCCTTATTGTGAGACAGAGTGACCAGAAATTACCAGAAGTAGTAGAAACAGTGATTATTTAAAGTTACTAGCTGTACTTTTGGATTGTCTTTAATCTGAGAATTTCTATACGATTCAAAAGTCACTTGGGTAAATTTATTGCTGCTTGAAAGTTTCAGTTTGTGACAAAAGCTTTACAAGACACTATAGTAATGCTTCTATGTTTAAATGTACAAGGAAAACATCTGGTTAAATGCACAAGAGCTACTGCTTGAGGGGGGGAATAAATGTATAAAAACAATGAAAGGCCTCAACTTCTTTCATAAATATCAGTATAAACTAAATCAACTGCACTGAATCCCTATAGATCAGCAGTGCTGTAGAATGGCTGAATCACCTCATAAAAGCCAGTTAAGACATACTAGGTTCTTTCGAGGATACAAATTAATGTTTTCATTCTTGCAGGTTTCTCTAAGGGCAGTGTAAAGCAGAAAAATCAATTACTAAAATAATATCCAATCAATAATTCAAGGCTGTATAGAAATGCATGTGCATCAGGCTGCACAAATCACTGTCAACTTTTTAAGTTCTTTTTCTGTTTCTGCTTTAATATTTCCCTAGCATAGTTTTAGCATACGGAGTTACTCAGCTGGTTAAGGAACAAGATGAAGCAATTTCATCAAAGTGAGATTTGTTCCTCCTCTGCATTTTCAAAAAAACTGGAAAGATAAGATTCAGGTAGGTGGACAGATTTTAAATGAGAGCGTTTTGCACTAAACCTTTTACAACTTTGTAAGAGTTTGCAGTTTTTCAAAAGTGTCCGCTCCACTTCTCCCAGTCATTCTTTCCAAGACAGGCTAGAGAGACAAACAGGCTAGTTTTGTGTAGGCTCCACAAAATGTTCGGGCAGGAAAAGTATATACAAAATAAGGCAAAATGTATCACCACCGTGAAAGCACAGATTTTATGTTCAGAAGATTCAAATTCAGAAGAACTAACATGCTTGATTTCTAGCACAAGTTCTTTCAATAAGATGTGATGCCCGAGAGATTAATTTAAAACTGATCTTGACCAATGTAACACTGGAAGTTGTCACGTTATAAATGTGGTCTCAGCAGTGACGGAGAGAGATGAAGGTAGAAGGAAAATGAAGGTAGAAGGAAAACAGATGCTAGAGTGAATGTATTCAGAAAGTAACATCTTCATTACCAAAGATGCCAGAAGAATCCTTGTAAAAAATTCATTCCTGACCGAGGTTGCATTTCAGGTATTTACTTCTGATTAATGTAAATCCCCCCCAGCTTTAGCAGGGGAGGGCATTCATCTTCACTGCGCATTCTGAATTGCTTCAGAGCAACCTGCAGCTCAGCACTCTTAAATGACTCTCAGATCCCACCGTGCACAGCATAGTGCTTCGGTGGTGGGAAAGGAATGATTTTGGGGTGTGTAATCAGCATGTTGTCTCCCAGTGAGAGGCAATGACACGCAAACAGTAGAAATGAATAACAATTTTAACTGAAAATAGGTAGTTCTGACAAAAGGGATGAGAACCCTGCGTTTCCCTGGGCCAAGTGAGTCCCCTTGAACACCGTGCAACAGAATGATTCTCTTTGCTGTGAAGTGACACACTCCAACAGAAATGAGGAAATATTTCCTAGCACCTTGTTGCCTGCTTAGAGACAAGTTTAACTCCACTCTAGCTGAGGTCACTTCATACACAAGCGCACCATTAGTAAATTCTTCATGTAAAAGCGGCAGCTCCGCTTTCTCTGGCTCTTCTACCTGCAGCTTAAGGTCTGTGAAGGGATGGTTGTCCTCCTTCAAGAGAGCTTCAAGCTGAAGGCCTTGTTTGCAAAGGGAAGCATGTGGGCAGCCAGTTCCTAGCTTCCAGAATAAGGATGCTACTGAGACATGACACTACCTGGAGTTTTCAGGTAGGAGGTAGCTATCTGACACGCAGCATGACAGCGGTATAGAGCTCATTCTCAGAGCTAATAGCTAAGTCTTTATTCCCCTGTGGCTGAGGTCCTGAAATACTAGGTGCATATACAGCAAAATATTACTTTACTCATGGAAATTTTGAAAACATAACACCAAAGGAGATAAAGGTGATGGTGCAAAGTTCCCAAGCTCAAACAAGACCCTGATTGAGTTGTTGCTTCATATTCTAAGCAAACAAACAGAAATGCATAAGCTGCACAGCCCACAACTGTACTGTAAATATGTTTCTATTGCTAAAAACCCCAATGCCCACAGACAATCGTGTGATTCCCAGCAGCAAGCATTGTCACAGCCAGCAGAGACCAGGTTACCCTTCCTCCTCTTGTTGAAAAATCCCTACACCCAGATCAATACAATTCAGATTTAATGAGCCCTTAATGTTGGGCACAGAAGTTGTAGTAAAGGCCCATAGGAAAGGCACAGCATCCTCTGGGTAAAACAGCTTTTGGTTGCCATGGGAACACATCTTCCTGCAGTTTTGTAATCTCCCATCCACCGTGATCAGTACAATCCTGAAACAATTCCTGCTTTGATCACTTCACCCTCCCCTCTTGCAAGTGTGCGCGCACACACACACACACAGACCCACAGCCTGATTCTGCTTTTCCAGCAGGCCAGATGTGTGCAAGACAGGCTGCCTTCTTTTACTTCAGCTTTCTCAGGCCTGTATTTTTTTCAGTCTTACAAAAGATGAAGATAGATTAAGCAAATGGGACATTTTAGTAGGTATTTTAGTGGTTTGATTCCAATCCAGATATTGGAGTAGCTGGGGATGACTCTGGGCTTTGCCTCCAGGTGAGTCATTTCAGCTTCTCTGTGCCTCAGCTGTGCCGAACACAAACCCAGGGCTTTTCCCTTCCAAAGGAGATGGAGGGAAGCGAGCTGATGCTTGTGATTCAGGTATTACAGTGATGGGAATGTGCAGCTACTGCAGCTATAGTTTAAATGGAAAAATTGGTTTATGGGAGTATTAGATTCCTCTGTGAAACTCCAAGGGAGGACAGCTATTATGGACTGGAGCAAGAATGATTTGGACTATTGCAAGCATGACCACCAAATCACTTTGTGAGCTGGAGAAGCTCTACGCAGTTTTGCCTTGCAGAGTTGTTGAGCACCAGCAGCTCCCATCAATGCTGGGTTAAATTTTAGATGCTTGGCGCTGCTGGGACTAATTTTTCCCTATTTGTACAGCAGGGTTCTTTTCCTCTGGCAGTTCATATCAGGGACTAGGAGAATTAGTTCAGATCCCTTGAGGGTATCAGAAGTTTTACTGTTCTGAATGCTACAGTGCTGCCAGTTCTGCCTGCTAACAGACCGACACCAGCTCACCCTTACTCCTCTTCTCCTCTCACTCTGCCTCAACCTCTCTGAGCTTTTGCCTTCTGCTGCCTTTTGCCACTGCCTGCTGGGTTCTGCTGTGCATTTAACTGTAGCTTCTTTACCACTCGTCAGCAGAATTGGCTTGTCCAGAGTTAAAGGTTGTCTGCAGATCCCTTTCAATCTCCCGGCCACAGATGGGAGCTGCCAGAGCCCTTCATCCTATTACATGAACGACTGCAGCAGTTGGGGTTTGTGGGTTTTGGGGGGTTGGTTGTTTGCTTGTTTTGGCACCACCAACATACATCTGCCTTCAGATTCTGAGCCCCTGGCCATCCCCCTGAAGCAGGATGGCCACAGAGCTGGGAGCAATGTAAGTAGAGACTTGACGGGGCCACCGAAGGGAGCCGTGGAAAACAGGCAGCACTTTGAACTACTGGATCCTGGGTGCTGCTGCCTGGAGGTGCAGAGATATAATAGAGCAAGAGCTATGCAGAAAGTGAGGAAAAAGCACAGGGAAAACCGTTCTTATTTTAACCATCTAATTTGAGCTTAAACACCAACCACAGGTCCTCCAGAGGAAATCAAAGGGGTTAAGATGCTAGCTAAGGAAATGCCACTTGATAGGCCTTTTTGCACATTCCCACATTGCTCTTTTGAAGGAGCCTGCAACCTTCCCGTCTGACCATCATTGTAAGAAATTAATTATTTCTGAATCCCTAGACAACTAAGGCAAATTCATTGCATTGGGGAGTAGCAAGTCTCCTCTGGCCATCAAGTCTTATAGCAAGAATCAACAAAGTATTTAAATCCACACAACCTTCTGCTTTAAACATGCATCAAATCATATTTGGAAACAGGTAAGGTTCACCTGGAACCTTGGAAACCTCTTCCCCTCCCCAAGCACACATTATCTATAGCACAAGTGATCCTGTATATTTAGAATTTTATATCAGACGTTTGACTAAGCCATTTGGTGAGGGAAGAAGAGATGGCCCATCCTTCCAGTTGCTCATCACAATGAAAGCTTTTCATCGTGCCAGCCTGCAATTAAGCACATGGACAATTCAAACCTAAAAAGAAGCCATTTCAGGGAATCCTTATAAACAATGATTATTCAGTATCACTAATTGTAGTGATTTATAGCAGACAAACTATCTGTCTCCAGACCTGCAAACGTGCAAATAATTAAGCAAGAAACAGTCTGCTCCTAGACAATAGGACAGGAGTGCAATAACTGAGGGAGATTACTTTATCAATAAACAGATGTCAGTATTCAGCACCACCAGTCTATGACCCCTTTTATCTCTGGGCCTCAGAGCACTTTACCAACATTAATTAGCCTTGTGAGATAGCTCCCATACCCATTTTATGGGCATAGAGCAATTATGCCTCCTTTATGGGCACACAGCAGTTAAAGGGCACTCGCAAGGTCAAAGAATACTTCCGGCACCCAGCCACCAAATCTGTCCAGTAACTCACTCCATTAGTAATGCTTTTAATCCTTATTTATTAGATAAGTTCCCGTGCTTGAGTGGCCCACATGATTGAAATTGGGATCCGGTATTTCCAACAAGTAGGCACCTAGGAACTGCAAAGCATTCCCTTTAGAGTCAATCTATACCAATATCCACCTGAATAGCAGGGCTCAGAACTAGTATTTGAAACCTTAGAAATCTGATTTTCCCACAATTGCAGTCAATAGGTATCTGCATTTAATGGAGAACACCTAATGCGATACAGGTAACCACAGAGTATTCATTCTTCTCCTAACCTGCAGTCACTAAGTAGCACTAAGAGACTATAACCGGTCAACACCACTACGAAACTCAGTTTTGTACGAATGATTGCCACGGCTCTAGGGCTGAGAGGAGGTAGGAGAGTTACCATAGCATCAAATGAAGGAGAAAGAAGCCTTAATATGATCTTTCTAATAAGGTCTGGCATAGGCATTAAGGCAAGTTCTGCTCAATGCACCAGCCA